CAAAGAGTTCCATTTTCAAATGTTGTAATTACCATTTAAATATTGTATAAGTAAGTGGCCAGTTCCGGAAACTTATAGTGCGCCCTATGTATACCGTGTCATTTTGTATTGTTCCAGAAACCGGAATAGACTTAAAGAGCAATGTTCAGTAGTCAATCATAAATTTAAAAAAAAGTGTAACTCCCATGAAGGACTAGACTAGAGGTTCCCAAAAAATTTTCTTCCGTTTTGTGTAGATCCCCTTTCTAATATAGATTTTGGTTACAAATTCATCAGCTTCAAGTGTCTTTATAACAGCTGACACAATGCTAATCAATTTGTTAGGTTTAATTGTAGAACCAAATTTATACAAAGTATAAAAAAATATAATAGAATATATTTTATGAACTCAAAAATTTTGATTCCAACCTGCCTAAATGGGTGTCATATTCATAGACCCATAACACGTGGTGTGGACCCGTGGGGGTGAATATTGTCTACTTTGGAAATCAACGGATTAGACACAAATTCTCCAAGAGAAGCCAGATGCTTAATAATAATGTTTACTTCAGATTAAGTAATTAATGCAGTATCTTTAATCGTAGGGTTTAAAATTCGACATTACACAAATACAATACAGTTATTCGATATCAGAGCTCGTGTCTTTACACTAAAGTTTATTTTAATATACGGCTTCTGCGTACTTTGATAACAAAAAACAGTAAATCATTCGTCCCCTAGTTTGCCACCCTTTGAGGTGGAACATTTTCTTCAAATTTAAATGGGACCACATCTGAGGTACCCTCTTTCAAACAAAAAAAGAATCATCAAAGCGGTTCGCCGGAGTTATCGCGTAACATACATACAAAAAAAAAACAAACAGTCGAATTGAGAACCTCCTCAGCCCCAACAGCCTCCTGAAGACCATTGCAGAGATGAGTGAGTGCCCAACATTGCGACACTACGGCGCAAAATTGTTTTAAGTCTGCACTAACATTTTTATTGATGTTAGTTGTTTTTTAATAAAAGAATAATAAAATAAAGGGCAATGTATACGATTGTATTATTAAGATTCCAGTTTGTATTCAAAATTTGCCATTTACGAGGTTTAAAATCAAGTTTTACAGTACAGGTATGTTTCCAGTGTAATTGGATGATAAAAATCCATGGTAGCGACTCGTTTAGCTTTTGCAACTTGTTTCGATCTACGATCTTTGAAAAAAAACATTGTAAATGATGAATGTATAGAAATGTTTATTTACAAAGAGTTTCTTATTCGTTCTTCTCAGGGAAATCTGCTTTAAGAATGAGTGTAGAGTTTAATCAATGTCACGATCTCAAGTGTAATTTGTTTACCTATGGAATAAAGAATGAGTTTGAGTTTGACGAGAGCTACAGCTTAAGATGCGTAAATGTTCTGCTTTAACAAAACAGATCGAACGTGACAATAAATTTAAAAAGAACAGCGCGACAGCGAAAAATAGATAAAGCCAACCCATCAGACTACACAAGAATAGTTCTGTTTTTAAATTTTTGATCATTAAATATTTTTAATTATTTTTTAAATTTGTTTAATCATTAAATAAACATTTCGTAACTATCATAAAAATGTGCTTTATTTTTAAAACAATAATAAATTTACCGGCGCCTCGCTCTGAGGTAAAACAATAATGATCACGTTAGTAATACTGCATAGAAAATACGTTGCCGTGAGCAATTTGACTAATATCATTTTTGGCAGTTAATCAGAGGCGACATGTAGGATGTTATAAACAAAAAACGTGTGACGAAAAAAGTAAGCGTTACTGCGGCGTTACTATGATACGGTGGGTGCGTACGGACGAAGCGCATGCGCGGTCTTCCGTGACTAGATTTTAATTCCGGGCAAATGATGAACAGACTTGTTTGATTATTCGATCATTTTTCAAAGGTGAGGCGCGCAATGGCAGTGCCCCTCAATCCTTGCGATTTAAAGGTCTGAGTGGCACTGCAAGTGCTATGGAGACAGGAGTGTCGCTTACCAACACGACTTGTTTGTTTTGTCACTTGGTATCCTAAAAAAGTTGTAGGGAAAGCATGAAACAACTTTTTCGTAGTAGAAGAGAACAGACTTCTGCATTACTTTGTAGACCTTGAATCGAAAACACCAACACAACGAAATTGCAAGCAAGTACATGGGTACACTCGTACGTAACAATGCCTAATAATTACTCGACATGTCTCTAATTTATCACGTCTCGAAGTCCGTGGGCGACACGGCCTTGGCACGTTGCAGATGCATTGTTGTTAAAGTTTAATGATACAACGCATCTGTCTCTTCCGTTATCATTAATTTAATTTGAACTTAGTGCTGTCGAATTTAGACGACTATTATATTCTCTTCAGTCGAAATATTAGACATAATAACCTTAAAACAGTATCGAGTTCTTAGGTTTTCGCAGTTGTAAAATACAATAATTGTAAATGAAACTTTTTTCGATCTCGATCACGTATATTTATTTGTTGACTTGTCACTCCGTCGTGAGCTATAAAGAGCCCGTAACTTTGGTTTGTTTGAAAAAACAAATATACACTATTTAGCTCCAAAAAAAATTTTCAATTTCCAATACAGTATTTTAAAATATGCTATACTATAAATTTAACAAGGGCATGCATACATGCATCTTGTGTCTATAGTCGAATCGAGATTAAAGAAATCCTCGAGCTGGAACTGCTTTTTTGTCGCAACAAAAAGAACACTGGTGGCAAAAGTCCCCACCAGCACCGCTTATCCACGTTCCATGGAAATACTATACAACGATATTCTTTATGTTTCTCGGCAATCTTCAGATACCGAACACAAATATCCATAATATCTAGTAATTACTAGAATTATCTATAATAATTAGAATTCTGAACTACGTACTTTATTGTTGTTTTAGTGCTGTAAAACTATTTTCCTTTTTGTAATATAGCATTCACTTCTAACAATATACCAAGTGAACAAAAATTAAATCAAAATAAGGACTCTAAAAATTATTACTAATTGTACAACTACTTCCAAGTCGATTGACTGCTTCCGGTCAAGGTTCTGCGTCCGTCATCCGTCCGGTACAAATACTGTCAAAGAAGTAATACTCGGCCCCCTGCATCAAATGCAAAGGGTAACCGATAGAACTCCGACGACAGCCAAAAGAAAAATAGTTACATATTTAGAAAAATTGTTGCAGTAGTACCCTTACTGACGTAGCGACCGTCACATGTCAGTGCCATATTGTATGCCTAATTGACTTCCTATTCGGGCACAATGAGAAGCAGGTATTATTTCAAAACGTTACACATTTTTATGCCATTGTTCTTTTGTATAATAGCGACAGTGTTGTATAACGTGTATTAATACGTATAGATAGGATATAATTAGTGATCCAGATAGAGTAAAGCGCTAACCGTATGGTGGCCAACAAGACGTTATAGAAACGTGTAACTTGATGCAACGAGGTGGGTAGACGACATCGTAAAACTCGCAGGCCGTACATGGATAAAACTAGACGAAGATCGTGGTGGATGGCACAAAATACGGGAGGATCATACCTAGAAGTAAACGCAATCGAGCTAGTATGGATGGATACAGATCTTGGATAATACTAACATCTACCCGCAAATCTTAAAAATGCTTCAAAAAACAAACATGTTTTATACCCCGAAGCAATTCTTTTTATTGGATAATGAATTCTGTGGTGTAGATATTTTTTTCGAATAAATTATTTTTTGAGTTTACTATTTTAATAATAATAATAATAATAATGAACCAGACCAATTACTGGGCTCAAAGTAGGGAAATTCCCTATATCATGAGTACTACAGCAACGGGGTTCATTTTGGGGCGCTACCTGGGGGGCTACTCTCGATCTCCGTCCGACATCCCTCCGAAACAATTACTGTCAAATAAGTAATATTCGACAAAATAAAAAGACAAGTATCCAGTATGAAGCTTCATTCGCATCACGCGTCTTTTCATTTGGTCAAGTATTGCTTATTTGGCAGTAATTGTTTCGGACGGATATCGCACGAAATTCGAGAGTAGACCCCCTGGAACCTGTTTTTTTATTTGGTAATTTAAGTTGGTAATAATTTATGGATATTTTAAATGAAATACTAAACCACTCGATCTTCTGTAGGTAGCTACAAGCTAAAGGGAAAACGCTCTCAAGAGACCACTATCAACTACAGGAGTTAACTTCAGATTTTAGAAAAAATTTACAGTCTGAGAAAAAGATCAATTGCTTGGTTTTTCATAGGTCATTTAACGATCTTGTTTCTTTTAAGAAGACTGGATCAAATATGATTAAGATACTAGAAGTTTCAAAAACTTATTATACACGATTTTGGTGGCCCTTACCATATCGTGACAATTTTTCACCATGCATAAACAGTAGAAGTTCATTATTGTTATTATATCACATCTGAATGGCTTTAAAATTAACGACCGTTTGTTGTACGCGTTGTCGTACGATTAGTATAAAAAAACAACAATGAACACGCTAAAATCCACTCACCCTTTCTCTGTATGATGACCCTAAGCAGTGGTCTGGCAGTGAGCAGCGCTCTGGCCAAATTGTCATCATTGTTGATTGGCAACAAATCTCCATCCCGGGGGTCTGTATATGATATAAGGAAGGCCACATCATGCAGTCTGTGCAGTTTCTCTATTAATGCCTTGAAGTCTTCATATTTCAGTTTCTCTGTACGGTTTAGGGAGAAACGACGGAATTCTGCGTCAAACTGAAAAAGATACAACAGCATTATTTAAGAAAAGAAGTATATATATATTTTTTCTACAAATACACCATTCCCATGCATTCCTGTACTATGAGCACGGAGCGACGAAACAAACTTGGATTTACTATCCCGAACATTCAGACCAAATGAGAAACTCATCAACTCCTGACCTCCTCATTTATCGTTTAATATAATAATATAATTTAATACTATCATATATTAACCTCTCTATGAATGTGATATTAAATGTATGGGAGCTTTAACAATAAAAATTTTTATATTTCTGGTTTTATTTTTAAGAATTTTTTGATGCGTGCTTTTAATCAAAAATTTTATGGACTTGATCCGTTTGTAGAAAGCACACTTTTAAAAGTAAATTGAAAACAGTCTTATTCGAAAATAACTGAAAATTAAATTTGAATGCAGTGCAGTGTACCACTTACAGACTTTTATTTTTATTTTTCTTGTTTCGTGTCTATTTTTTTTAATGCACGCTTTTTTGTAGGTCACGATTGCACACTTCACACCTTTTGCTACGCTTATTACTGTAGGTACTTTTGTGTTTGTTTTTGTTCTTTTTTCTTTTTGAGGTGTTAAATTTTACCTTACTCTGAGTAGGTTAGATATTTGAAAATGAAAACGTGGACGACTGTAATTGGCGCTAACTACCTTTACCTAAAAATATTCAATGTAAATCGTTATTAATAACTGTTGTTCCAAATAAATTTTTTTTTAAAAGTCATTTTACTTGTTAGGTAAAGGTTTTTGATATCTTATAACTTGAAAATAAATGAAATAAATAAATACTAATGGTAAAATTGGATAAATAAAGCAATACTTTTATAATAGACAATAAATTACATTTGGAGTACTTAAAACTTTTCACAACAAACAACTTGTTAGGTAAATGTATAAGAGTCGTATTCTAGAACTCTACTCAATGCTCAAGTCAGGATTGCACTGGCAACACACGCACTGGAAATACGACCCTAATGGCAGGGACTTGAGTATGATTTCGAGTGCTTTAAACCATACTCAAATCCTGACTTGAGCATTGAGTAGAGTTCTAGAATACGACTCTCAAACTAAACAGATTTTTTTTTAAATTAAGTGTTTCACTAGCACTGTGTCAGCTGTGGAACACACATTTGATGATGATGAATTTGTACAAAATATTACAACACAGACAGGGGGTCTATGTGAAAAGAACAAAAAAGTTTGGGAAACTCTGTGTTAAACCTAAAATATATTGCCTTGGGATAAGGGATATTGTGGAATGGTACCATTGGGACCAGATGGGAAGACAATTTTAAATATGTTGCTGGAGGCGCATGGAGGCAAAGAGACCTAAAGTCTGGAAGAGACCTATGTCTAAGGACAAGCTGAACGTTGAACAAAGTCAACAAATTTGAGTAATAATACATAAGTGATAAATAATAAGTATGCATGTCATACAATGTTTCTGTGTTAGATAAGTTAGTATGTAAATTATTAGCAATAAATAAATAAAAATATTGCCTTGAATAATCTGCTTTACTAACTAACCTAACTAGCTATAGTTATGACAGTCAGTAAAGAGAGCATGAGAATATGGTGGAAATACATAGTTGTTCAAATTACCACCGCATTTCAGTCCTTGATGTGTAGCAAAATGAATCATATTCATTGACTTAAATAATGAATTCTGGCTAATCTCAAACTGGCAGTACTCTAACCACTACTACAGGAAATGCGTTAAATCCTCATTTTAAGCATAGAGAAAAATTATAGCATGTATATTTTGTAAACAAGGGATTTGTATTGTAATGCTTTTAGTACATTTAAGTCATTGAAATGTAATTTAATTTGTTTGAAAACTATTCTGCCAAATCAAGAAACAATTGACGGGTGTCAATTGTTTCACTTCAAGTCGACCAGTTTAACTTGAGCTAGATATAATGGACAAAAGTTGAAAAATTACATATTTAATATTTTATTACTTGATGCCTTTGTTATTACTGAACCCTTTGTTTTGTAATAATATGTTTTGCTGTGTTTCCCACACTACCAGATGGAACAGCCACCATTGATATTACGGATATTATCTTTATTACAATAAATACATAATTTTTTGGAATATACGGAGACGTACACATAAGTCAGTTGTTGGCGCTGTACTATTTCAGTTTTCTAATTTGTGAATTCAGCACAAACAAGAGTTGATATTTAAAAGTAATACAAGGCCCATTTACCTGATGAGTTAGTTGCGAGGGATGGATGGTCCTTATTTCGTCTCTATTTCTGGTTATATACTCGATGATTTAAGTCCACATCATCATGATATTTCTATGGCTTCACTGAATGAACATGTGTAATATTAACATGTAGATAATACATGTTTATTCAGTCGCACCATTGATTTTTAGAACTTTCAAATTATTATGTTTTTTTAATTACAGTCCCAAATTTAACACAAATATTTAATGTACTACATCACCAACAAATTTATACGATGTAAAAAAAGGAATGGGCATGCCTTGGCACTTATTACAATATTATTTTGATGATTTTGAACTCTAGTGCAATTATAACAAAACCAAAATTACAAGAATAACAAGTGGGTTATTCTGATTATTGCAAAGTTTCAAACCACATTATATTTTGTATACAAAACAAGCTAACAACCGTTTTCTGATATATTTAAAACTAATTTAACAACAGTTAATTTTCATTTTTGCTCACAAACATAAAATGGTCCAACAAGAAAATGTTAAGTATGAAAACTAACAGAAAAGTAGACTATTATATATTTCTGTAATTATTTTAGTGGATAAGTGTAACTGGCATATCCAAAAAATTTAAGATTTGTTAAGGTTAGTATTTGTTGCTATTCATTGTTTGTCAACGTAACAACTTTAAATCACCATATATGCTTATAATCTGACTAACTATGGCTATGTTGAGTGTGTGCATTATTGTTATTATATTATTATTAAACTTTTTACAGTTTTGTCGTTTAATTTACTATTTGTACTAATATTTATCGAACCCTTGATAGGGTTGTCATTTAAACATTGTTTCTATCGATTATTTGTCAAATTAAAACAGCATATAACTATGCATACTACATTTTCCTTACTCTCTGTCACTGGACGGGAATGGCATCAGAATGCTGACTAGAGCCTAAACAGGGCATTGTGGCTTGAACAAGCACATGTCAAATATTCGGCAGAGAGAAAACAGAGAATGTAGATTCTGCCACGAGGCAGATAAAACTCCTGTGCATCTCCTCGCCCAGTGCTGCCCTCTAATCGTAAGAAGTTCCATACTGGGTAGGCACAGGCCACACCCATAGGACACATAAACTGTCGGAGCCAGGAATGTCCTTCAGTTCCATAATGTTGTTGGTCTTGGCTCCGAACTGTAATTAGTGGTTATCACAATAGACCAGTTAATGGTTGCAGTGATGAGGAGCTGCATAGGCCCCAAATGAAGCCACCCTAATAATAATAATAATAATACCTCTACCTCAGTTGTTATTTTAAATTTTTTCAAAACAAGTTTATGAAATAGTGCTGCAAGAACCGTAATGGGAGTTAAATTTTTTTTGGATAGACTGTGATAATTTTATAATGACCAAAATTTTTAAATTTTCAAATAAAATAATCTTCCAAGACACAGTCATGTAAAAAGACATGAAATTTGAGATATATTTTTAACATTTTGTTGCATTAAATATAAGCTTATTAGCACAGCAGTCCACGATTTTCTCTAATACTGAAACTTTCAGTAAGGCCTCGTCTACACCAGGACCACACACCTAAACCTAAAGATCACACAATGCCAGCTATCGGACAGTTCAACTGTTGATAACGAATAGATAGAAGACATTATATTACAAAACAATTGAAGGATTGTGCGAGGTGATACGGCGGTTACAGTCAATTCATGCCATCCGACATTAATAGGCCCTCAGTAATATTGTTACAGAGGAATTTATGTTCTATTGTACACACATGATGCTAAATACAGAATAAAGACGTAACAAAATCTGGAATACACCTGCAAATTCAAAAATTATCTTTACCACGACTGCTCCCATACGTAATTATGGTAACAATACTCCAACGACTTGACACTTACTTCCTGGCCCTACAGGAAGTATATTAAGACTTTTCATGGTTAAAAAACCTTGCTACATGCCCTAGGAACAAAAACTAGGTCTCAAACATCACACGACTGTAATAATTCGCAAAGAAATTAGAAATTTCTTCCCACTCACCTTAGTTTTGACTTCAACATTTTGGCTATCAATCCTAGCCGCAATTTTGTTCTTCGACATCTCGAAAGCACTTATTCACTAACACTTATTCTAATAAAACAACCATCAAAACATTTAGGCACTTTAATCGCAACAAAACATTGTAAAATTTCAAAAGTTTTTATTAAATTATTGAGGCTGATCCATTCCACTCTCGCGTCGTAATTTTTTAAAAGCATGCTTTTTGTCGCGACATATTTGATGAATTAGTAATTATTGACCAATAGCTGACGAATTCCAATGACAGCGTGGCATATCATTGGTCAAACGGAATTAATAAAATCAGTAAAAGAAAACAGATTAGATTTATTGTTTTTATGTTCCTTTCCATGCAGTTCCTAAGAAAATACTTGGATATCGCTGCTAGCAACACCAATAAAGCGCTTTTTGAATCGCTTGAGCGGAGCGGTGCCGGTGCATATTATAAATAAAGGTGGTTTATACGAAAAACACGTCAAAAAGTTTGCTTTTTAAAATAAGAGCATAAGCACGCTTTTCATTTTAAGCGTAAGCGTTGGTCACTGGTCAGTTCTATATTTAACAATTTTATTTTTATTAAAGTTTCAAGTAGCGTTATCCTGTTTCCTAAATAAATTAATTCAACATAACGTTGAAAGCTTTTTTAAACATAAAAGTCTATGAGCTTAAACGTTTTTCTAAACGACTTTTTAAGCTTCAAACTAAAAAGCGTTCTATGTCAAGCGTTTAAAAAAAAGCACGTTTTTTTAAAAAATGCATAACGTTTAAACGATTAAAAAATAAGCAATTTTTTCTATCTCTAATTTTAAACCACAAAAGTTTTTAAATACATACTTAACAAACTTACAATCAAGAGACCTGTGTTCTTTTACTTGCAAAATTTGGCGAGCTGTTTTCGATATGTTTAATCAAAACTCGGTTTTATTTAGAATAAGGATAATAATACTTTATTGCGTAAGCACTGAGACACACGTGATCTTAAAATTAAAATACAATATTATAAATTATAAAAATTCAGTACTTACAACAAAAGTGAAAATATAATTATAATGATTAAAAAAATTAATAATAAATGCATGTCTCAGCTATTATCTACAAGCTGATAGATTTTCAGCCTGTAGCGCTGGTTTTCAGCAAGCCCGATGTGAGTAAAGGACGGATCCGAGCGCAAACGAAACAAATACATGTGCGTGAGCACATGTAAATGTTGCGTTTTCGTTAACTTGGTTATACTAAAATATTTACACTAAATAATTTTTCCCCTTCGGTGCATTGATATTTAACATCGATGTCGAAAATATTCAATATCAATGCACCGAAGGGGACGACTACAACGGGCATATAGATTGCCTTAGAGACTACTTGCATATTCAACAACCGGGAGCAGATCTATCAACATAATTATACAAGATTTTATTGATATTGGATTTCTTCATTATTTATCATAAAACGTTTTTGTAATATAATGTTGAAAGAAAGAAAATCTGTCAAAGGATTCTGATACGGAAAAAGTTCCATTTAGAAAAAAAGGATATTTTGTAGAAGAATAAATATTTTTCCAGACATTTTTTCCAATATCTTTCCTTTATTTTTCCACATTTGACGTTGAATCCTGTCAAAAGTTGAAGTTACTGAACTGAAGTAGAAGTTAGTGAACGAAAACGATGGAACAAATAGGAACGTTTTTCGCGGTTGTGAAATAACTTTAAATTTCCTTTTTCATTTCGATTTATTTTATAATTCACTTTAAATAAAACTTCAAAAGATGTTTCCAAACGTAGAACATAATATGAGAATTCGAAATTACATTTTTTTCACTTTTTCAAATCGGTATTGTATATAGTCGTGGTTAAGCAACGTGCGTCTACATTATATTGATATTTTCGACGTAAGCAAAGTATTTTCTAGTTTTGGCACCTACCAAAATTTTGTTATGCCTATAAAATTTTATTGAATATACAGGGTATCCCAAAATTCAACGTCAAGTGGGTAAGAGGCTAGGTTATACCAGCAAAAATTAAGAAACAAACGCCATGTTATTTAAATAAGCTAAATAGATGACAACATCTTTGAATATAATACTGTGATCACAAATTTTCCAATTTTGCAATGTTTTTTTTATTAATTGCTATTAATCGCATCATAAACCTCACAATAAATGTTGTTAGTTTATTAAAGGATATATGTTTGATTGAGTCATGGTATAAAAAACTCCGTTCATATTTTTTTAAAGAGAAATGTACACAACCCTGGGTAAGTTATTTCATAAGAATGTCATAACGAATATCATATATACGTATAACGTGGTACTCACACTGTACCGTTTGACGTTGAGTTTGGGACGCTGTATATTTTGAATAAATATAATTGTTAACAAACCAGCGGACAATTATAACATTAGGAAAGTGCTAAATAATATATTTAAATATAATTCACAATTTGGTAAAGAATGTAGAGCTCAGGCGGTCCACTGACAACGACTGACAAAGGTTTAAATTATTAGTCGCTGTCAGCGAGCCACTGCACCAGCCTGTTGCCAACAATAATATTATTATTTTTTGCTCTGCGTCTATTGTAGTACACGTGTAGTACAGTGGTCACGCTGAATATAATAACATTAGATAAATTTAAGTAGTGAACTAACCATACCGTACGGTGTGTGCTCCTGCAAAGACAGTGGTCCCGTGCTTTCATAATAAAATTTGTTTAGTGCTTGTAGTAGTTTCAGAAGCTTGCAATTTTTTAATTATTATATTTACGTTATACGCCTTATTACGCTTGTAAATTTAGGTGCGGGGTGAGTCTGACGACGAAGCCTATTGCTTGACTTAAATAACTAGGCGGAACGTCGATTCCGGACCAAATCCTTAGACTTTTTAATTTTCTTTTTTCACACATTTGAGTATTTTGCTCGATATGGCGCTTTTGACCTCAATAAAATTTAGTCACAGATTGAATTAAAAACTTGGGCCAGTAAAATTATAGTTTAACTTTCATGCATATCCTTTATGGAATGCCCGAGTAATTCCGTTCATAAATTGTACAATTTCAAGGGATTCCAAGAAAAAAGGCTTTTTTTTTTGAAATTTATAAAAGAGTAATGACTCGCTGTAGTGCGCGAGAAGACTAAATATTTTTGCACATGTAATGAGGCTGTATAAGAGTTACCAGAATTTTTATTATTATGTCAACTTCTGACGGAAGCTGGTAGCCCTATATAAACTGTCATCCGTGCGTTCGCTGTTCGCTTCATGTGAGGCATTTTTTTAAAACTTTAGTATATGTCATGTTGGTCTGTGGGAGGCATTTTCCGCATGCTTAAAAAAATCGTTAATTTAATCTAAAATGTGCGAGACGCGCGATTATACAATTAAGTGTATTTAGCGTTAAGTGAAATTATTTCCTAACAAGTGTTGTGAACAGAATCAGTCAAAATGTTTAATTACAAATATCTTGCTCGGGAACATTTGGAAGGTTTCGATAATTACAAGGTATGTACGATGTTTTAATTGGATTGTTTATGGTTAAAATTTAAATCCTGATGTAGTGTGTATATCTTCATTTATTAATTAAGTAGCGATATTTTTTGTTATTTCATTGATTGGCGTGCGTCGTTGACTTTCGAGGTAACCTAAACCAGTATTGATTTTTTTACGCAACGAACGTTTCTATGACTCCAAACTTGTTAAGCCTATTAAAAAAAAGATTTAACGTGATTCATTTCATAAATTATGTATATCATTGTTCTATATAGCTGTTTTTTAAGTCTGTGGTTAAGTTCTTACCTTATACAAAACAAAGTTTAAGTCATGGACTCATTTAAATTAAAAAATACTTTTATAGTTAGGTACATAATATGTTTTACGCTTATTTTAATCTAATATTTTTATGTGCATATTACAAAGAAAAGGTATTATTTTTATTTTTCCTGTTCTCAGCATTTCAATGTATATGTATAGTATTTCCTGGAATCACATTGAAGTTGTTATGACTGTTTAACTCATGGCTTAACACAGGATATCTAAATAGGCAAGGAACTACATAGAGTGGTTAATACCTCTCGTTATAATGTATTGTATTTTGTTTTATATTTTTTTACTATTTTAGTGTATTTATAAGAAAAAAGTTTTTGTAATTGTAAAAAAAAATAAAGATTATTATTATTATTATTAATTGTAAGTAATGATATAACTATTTTGTTTTATTCCGGGATATCAGAAGTATTGTCTTCCCTATATGTATTACTTAAAGCTTAGATAATATAACTTATGGCTTATCACTGGGATATCGGAATAGGCACAGTATATTTTCAAAAATTTCAAGGAACTACGTAGAGTGGTTAATACCTCCTCTCTGAAATCCTTATTTAAATGTTTATGAAATGTTTATTTCGATTTTGATTACAGTGACGTTTGACATGACATGCCTGTCCATAACAGTTGCACTGCCACTCAGTGCTTTAAATCACAAAGATCGAAGGGGCCCTGCCACTGCGCTTGTCACCCATAAGTTGACAAGTCCCACATGCCTGTAATTTCACCAGCACCCTTCAAAACCGAAATGCTGTAATGCTCACATTACTGCTTGGCAGCAGAAATATGGCAGTGCGTCCATGGATGAACTTTTTCACAATATTAAGAGCGTCTTCTCTTTACTGCTATTAGGATCATCTGAAAGAGGCTTAATTTAACTGAATTGAAATGTTTCATCCTGAAAAATTACATAGAAATCACGTACAAGTATTCACATTAATTGACAATGTGCAAAATTAATATGTATCTACTTCATTATCTACCCATTATACATCTCAATGCTGGACATGGGCTTCCTTGTGATGGTCTTTTTAGCTCGCTGCCAGTTAGGAAAGATAAAAAAAAATCAATGCCCATGACCACAAAAAATAATTGAAAACACGTATTTTCTATATTACCACAAAATCACAAGACAAAAACATAGGTTCTACTGAATTAGTTTATGTGGAGACCAAAAAAAACTTGTACTATCGTTACATACAGCATATTGATAACGCTTGATAGTCCCTTGCTATGGCACCTGACATAAAGGGTCATAGGTGTGATTTAAATTAAGTTATTTTATATTATGTAATGCGATTTTAATGCATCGAGTATATAGCCAGAAATAGAGACGAAATGTCATTTAATTTGTTTGCAAAGTTTGCTGCCAAATGATTACGGTGACAACTGCGCTCTGATTGGTCAGCCCGAATTCGAAACAATTGACGGATGTCGTTAATTGTTTCACTTCAAATCGACCAGTTTAACTTGAGCGTTGCTATAATGGACGAAAATTGAAAAATTACATATTTAATTACTGATGAAATGTGATTCCGTTTGTTTTGTATGATGTTTATTTATATTTTGCAAGAGATGTTTTGCTGTTTTTTCCACACCACCAAATAGAAGAGCCCCCCCCATAGTTAGAAATATTGTCTAAATGCTGAATTTTTTTAACCGACTTCAAAAAAGGAGGAATTTCTCAATTAGGCTATGTTTTTTTTGTATGTACGTTACGCGATAACTCCGGTATTTGTGAACCGATTTTCATGATTCTTTTTTGTTGGAATTTTTAAAATTCTTTTTTTTCAAAATTAAACATGAGCACCATGGAGGTACCCATAGTGGTCCTGTTTAATATTGAAAAACATCATCCACCTCTAAGGGTGGCTGTTCACGCATGAATATTCATTTTTATAAATAGCGCCTACATTTTATTATAAGGAGCAATGATTGTAATGGTTGATTTTGCTATTCTCCGACTCAAGGCGTTTTTCTCTCTCAATATACTTTGAGTAGTCAGAACCGATTTTTACTATCTCCTGTATCGAGTCCCGTATAGTGGCGAACTAGGGGATGAATTCGGGTTTGCGCACTTTCCAGTAACCGATTTCAATAAAACTTGGTAATTGCATGTATAATTCTACGAACTTTTGAGGTCGGTTTTTTTAGTACTCTGTACTGAGATTATTGGAATATACAGAGACATACACACAGGTCAGTTGTTGGTGCTGTACTATTTCAGCTTTCTAATTTGTGATTTCAGTGCAAACGAGAGTTGATATTTAAAAGTGATATAAGGTCCATTTGCCTGATGAGTTGCCAGGGATAGATGGCCCTTATTTCGTCTCTATTTCTGGTTATATACGTGATGTTTTAATGCAATGAAATTTATATAAGTACTAACATAGTTGCTAAGTTTTACTAAAAAATTATGGAAACTTTTTCTGATACAAAGTACTTGGTACTTGGTGTAACGGGCTGGACAGCAACTCGACGTCAAGGCGCCTATTTTTTAAATATTGTTATTATAATTTTGGTTTTCTATTTTATTATTAATATAACACACATGAATAAAATATAGTCGGCCTTTTCTCCCCCTGCCACTGCGACAAATTCTTGTGTCCAATAAAATGTTACATAAAATCTTTTTGTTGCAGTACATGGCCATAGACACAAGCCCTCTCAGTGTCTATGTTATGCACCCATTTTGGAACAAGGTGGTGGAGGTAAGTCTGTGATTTTTAACCAGGAATCGAAAGATAACGACAATTCCGATAACATTCGCTACGTTATGAGTATTATCTTTTGATAACGTTTCCCACGTTATCGGCATTATGTTGTAATGTAAAATATTTAACACTAAATACACGCTTTTATGGTTAAATTTAAAACGTTTATACATAGTAAAATTATTGGTACATGCACAGGGAACAAAAATAACATTGTACGTCGTACGTATGGGAGGACAACCTCCCATGCGCCTTTCTTTATTACGCGAAAGTGTGCACTTGTACAAACCGCGCTGTTGCTTATATGGAGTTAGGCGTGAAACACACAGTGCGGGTCGGGCGCGAGTCGGTTCGGGGTCGCGGCGGGTATAATGGCTCGCGTACACCTAATTCGTCATCGGCCGAAGTTTGCTCGGGCGACGACGGCCGAACTCGGACGATCGAATCAAACACTTGCAAAAGAAAGAGAGCGCATACACAAACACCCCCGTCATCGTCCGATGACGCCCGAAAACGGCCGATCAACCGTCGGTCGAGTCCGTTTTTGTTGGGATTTCTCGGCAGTCTGCAGTATAAATTGAGCGTATTTATAGTTTAATTTAATCATACAGTCGTTTCTGTCAATGTTGTTATCTACCTAAACGACTATGGTTATTGAAAAATTAATTAGTTCTGTTTAAAACTGACCAACATTGTGCGATAAACATTCAAAAAATTACAATAAAATAAAGGTGGTATTCACCCAGCTGTCTTCTGTACATAAATATTTATTAACCCACCACGCCGATGTCGCCGACGTTGACATCGACGAATTAAATTGCGGTATGAATTTTGTAAAAGATACATTTCTTCGAATTCCTACATTTTAAAAACGCGTCTTCACTCTGTTAAGCAACACAGTCAACTACAGAATACCGGCAACGTCCTGTGTCGGCATAAGTAGTACACTGTTGCAGTGTAAGCACATACACGTCTGAGTTACTCGTCCGGGTAGTTCTGTCCGACATCGGCCGACAAAATCGGTTTAGGTGTACCATAATTCCGTCCGCCGACCCGCACCCGCTTTCTGTGTGTTTCACGCTTTATAAGTAGTTGAAGAAATATTATTTGCACAGATTATTTTTATCTCTTGGAACGGCTTATCCTTTCTATTACAATAGGGTAATAAAACCATTAACAATTGTTTTACTTAAAGCGTACATGGACCTAATGATCTTGGTCCATCGTACGAGTCATGAGCGCGCTAATTGCTTTTTCTGAATTCTAATTTTGAATTATTTCTTTACTCATCAGTGGGGCTAGCACGAAATGGCGCGATAAGCGCGAGAGCGACAAATAGCGCGATATACTGCCGTTCTCGCATAGAGATTGCAAATAATACTTCGCCAACAATACCATACTTGTCTTATTGAGCTATGGTAATACGTATTCTTGTCCTTAAATTCTAGTTACGTCATCTTTTTTAACCGACTTCAAAAAAGGGATGAGGTTCTCAATTCGACTTTGTTTTTTTGTATGTATGTTACACGATAACTGCGATAATTTGGGAACTGATTTTTTTGTTGGAAAGAGGGTACCTCAGTAGTGATCCCATTTAATTTGGAAAATATTCCACTTCTAAGGGTGGCAAACTAGGGGATGAATGACTTTTAAGGTCGGTTTTTTTATTATTATTGTTATCAGTATTATTGTTTCGGACACTTATTTTAGACCATGAGCTAAATGATAAACTATTATTTAAACTAAATTATTATATGCCACAAATGACGTTTTGTAATAATGAACCCGTTTTCCGTATGAGTCGTTGCGTATATTCTCTCAGAGTCGCTCCTATTTGAATACTTGTAAAGGAAAATTGAACATGTTGAATATTTTAACATTTTTGTACATTACTTTCATCACGGGAGTTTCGGTCTCGAAAGTTCCTCAAATCTCGATGATCTTTTGTCATTTCCGAGACTAATTTCAGTCATTGTTCAGTCTCGGGAATGCGTGCCGTATTCCAGCGCGACCATGGTCGAGTTTTTGAAACAAATCTCTTGATAATATCTTTTTTTAACCCGCTCACATTCACGATTTAAGCTTCTTCATAAATAAAATCGATTGTGATAAAAAAATGTAATCGGAAACGCATTAGGACATCACTAATTGATTAGAATTCGAGCTGTCAAAAGTTAAATAAATGTTTGAACGGAGTATAGACATACAGTTTTCGTTATTTACACAATTTTTCTACGTAAATACACCTATCAATGAAAATAATTGAATATCCAATATCTTCTAAACAAAGGGGCGACTAATTGTAAAAGTTCGCGACTAGAAACGACTAATTCACGACTTTTTCTGGGTGCAATCAGATCTAAGCTAGGAGCTGTGGTTCTCGAGATTCAAAAATGGTGCCGCCGGAATAAGCTTATTTCAGCGTGGACATTAAAACACCTTAATAATTGACGTTTTATGAATCCAACCGCTTCAGCCCTGCAGTGTTCACTTTAAAACCAGTTGACGAATCTTCTATATTTAAAATTATTAGTAAAACTTCAACCAATGCCCAAGGTATTGATGGTGTAAATCATGAGATGATTTTTCTTACTCTGCCGTATACTATTGGACTTATTACTACCATTGTCAACCAATCTATACGCACCGGTATTTTTCCCGACATATGGAAAAAAGCCATAGTTAAACCGATACCAAAAGTTAATGATCCAGCTGAACTTAAAGATCTCCGTCCCGTTAGCATCTTACCTTACATATCGAAAATCATTGAAAAAGTTGTAGCTAAACAAATGATAGAGTTCCTCGAAGCGAATAATATACTTCCTGAGAAACAGTCTGGCTTTAGAGCTGGCCGTAGTACGGCAACAGCGCTGTTGGACGTTGTCGACGACATTTTGGCAGGACAAGATGTAGGCAAGGGTACAATCCTCGTTCTCCTTGAAGTTTCCCGTGCTTTCGACACAATTAACACAAACCTCCTCGTCTCGAAACTGGCATATTACGGCTTCGACAGTACTGCTTTGAAATGGTTTGCTAGTTACCTGGATGGTCGTTCACAGAGAGTTGAAGTTAGCTTCGACGATGGTTCGAGAGGTGTATCGAATTCTTCTCCTGTTAACAGGGGAATTCCACAAGGGTCGATCTTAGGGCCGATCCTCTTTATCTTGTACAGTGCAGATGTCTGTAACTCGATAGAAAATTGTAGATACCATTTATATGCCGATGATCTCCAGCTGTATATTACTTTCAAGCCATATGACACTGCTACGGCTGTTAATAAACTCAATGCAGATTTGGAGCGAATTCGAAACTGGGCTGTCCGTAATTGTTTAGTTTTAAACCCAGACAAGTCGAAATTCATGGTGCTGGGCACGAAAAGTCAAAAACAACAAATCAATAATCACGATCTAAAAATTAGACTAGGGGGCAATGTAGTTCAGAAGGTAACAGAAGCGCGTAACTTGGGGGTTATAATGGATAGTGATTTAAGGTTTGAGAAACATGTCACGGATATTGTGAGTAATTGCTTTTATAGATTGAGGGTTTTATATCGTGTTCCTCAATATCTTAGCGTAGATGTGCGAATCCATCTGTGTGAGGCTCTGATTCTGTCAAAAAAAAGCGCTTTAAAACATAAAGCATGGAAGTCCCATGTGCCTGCAGTATCACCAGTAACCTTTTCAGTTCAAAACCGGAACACAGTAATGGTCACATTACTGCGTTCCGGTTTTGTACCATAAAAAAAGCAACACGTCAAACGTCGAAAAAATTTAGTTTAAAAGACAGTTATTACCTCTGATTTACTGTGACAATGACCCAGTAACTTGCACATTATCGGTCATATACAAATAACTGTTTAATACTTTAATAGCGTGCAATTAAATTTGATAACAAAATGGCGTGATTTGCTTTATCAACAAAGGTAATGTTACGAAGTATCAAATGCTCTATCTAATCTACTTCGATAAAGAATAACTAACCTTAACTGGCAGTTTTTATTACAAACGTTATCTTTTGTAAAGAATTCTGCCAATGTCGACAAGTTTTTTAGTAGCACTGGAGCTCCTTGTAAAAGAATTCGTCCAGGGACTGTACTAAGTACTGCCGCCATACCTATTTGTGCCGCCAAGCAGTAATGTCTCTCTTTACATTCTGGTACATGAATCAGGAAAGCCGTGTGGGTGAGTTCTCGGATCCATGGAGGATAGAATGCGAGGTGAGCAAGAGTGGGTTGAGCTCACCCTTTCTATTCAATTTATATGTGAATGCGCTGATTGAGGAATTTGGCGGCAAGCAGGTCGGTTTTTTTTAATAATAACGCACACACTCAACATAGCCCCGCACTAGGGAAACCCTGTGTCGCCGGTCACACATAGACCCAATACACCCAAACTCATGAGAGAAATAAATGTAGGCCATACAAATATTTCTCTCGACTCGGGAATCGAACCTGGGACCTCTGCGTGACAGTCCGCCACGGAGAAGGTTGCTTTATTGAGGACGTATGTGTCAATAATTTTAGCTGCGCGGATGATATGGTACCGCTGGCACCTTCAGTTGGCGCAATGAGAAAGCTAGTTATTATATGTGAGTCCTACGCGGAGTCACATGATCTAGCTTACAAAAGTTAAAAAGACAGTGTACATGGTCTCTAAGGCGGGAACAAGTGACCACTTCCGTTAAGTTAACTGCTTCCGTGGCCGAACGGTTACCATGCCGGACTGCCACGCAGAGGTCCTAGGTTCGATTCCCGGGCCAGGAGAAATATTTGTATGGCCTACATTTATTTCTCTCGTGAGTTTGGGTGTAATTTGTGTTTGTCTATGTATGTGTCCATGGCACCCGCGACACAGGGTTTCCCTAGTGCGGGGCTATGATGAGTGTGTGCGTTATTATTATTATTATTATCTAATTTTGTACTACTCCTGTTACTCAACGGTGTTCGTCTTAAAAAAGTATTTCAATTTAAATATCTTGGGCATTTGGTCGCATTGTCA